CCAGCGGGTGAGCTGGTAGCAATTGTATTGTTGCAATCCAAGCTCACGTTTCAGCAGGTCATTACCATCATAACAAGCCCTTGGACCAACTGGCATGGACATGCAACATTGAGCCCCTGATGGGCACATTATTTCAGACCTTTAACTTCATGGAGAACAAGACAAATACTCCTGGGAAAGGGGGATTATATTTTGAAATTCTTTTCTTTTCTGTTTTGTTTCATAATAAGATGAGGTGGGCAATCAATCTGCTGTTACTTGTTTCATTTTGTTCTTTCCACACTACCAAGGGGCCCAAGGAGCTAGACCTCCAGATTCGAAAGGGCCGGAAATATTGATTTGCACACTTCCGTATCTATTGGACTGTAGGGCTATCCATTCAATATGTAAACCATCATGGATGAAACAAGAAGCTCAAATGGATGTCTTCTACAGTGTAATCACAAATTAAATTTCGCAATAAGCCTAGTGTGCCTAAAGTTTTTGCATAGGCCCAAGAGTGAAATGTTCTATCTCAGTTCTCATTTCTACTTCTTACTTACCTAAATCTGCGACTTGGAAGACGTAGGTAAGAGAGGTCATCTGGAGAAATAAAATTTGTTCTAATTTTGTTCCTCTTTTGTTTTTTGAGTAGGGAAGAACAGGTAGGTAAGCCACATGTAAGTTCAATTGAAAGCACATGGAAGGGTCAAATCAGCAGGATTTTTTTTTTTTTAAAGGAGATTGTAAGATAAGTCTGCAGAAGTTTTTAAGAAGGTATCATACTTTTAGACGCGGCAAAACCAGAAGATGCGGTTTGGGAATCATCAAATAGAATGTGTCCCCCATGTGACTGTGGGAAGGATGGATGGGAAGAGAGGACCAGGCAGTGTGTGTGGGGGAGGTGTTGGGGACAAGCGGTGGTCAAAACAATCCAGGTGCATTTCATTGGCCTTGTGATTAGATTAAAAACAAGGCTGAATCCGTTTGTCATGATATTTTAAAAAACAGTCTAAAACTCTCACAAAAATTCAGAGCCAACGTATGAAAATTTTTAGGCTATTCTTTGTCTATTTGGGTAACATAAAAATTTGAAGTACGTTTCCTCATGTCTTCACATTACAATCAGCTAAAGATTATATATATAATTTTTAAGTATATATATAAATATATAATATATTAATATATTTAAGTATATATTAAGTATATATTCTATATATATATATATATAATTTTTTAAGTAAGCTCTATGCCCAGTGGGTAGCCCAACATGGGGCTTGAACCCACGACCCTGAGCTCAAGGCATAGAACTGAGCTCAAGAGCCAGGCACCCTGGGATCCCTGGGGGCTCAATGGTTTAGCACCTGCCTTCGGTCCATGGCGTGATCCTGGAGTCCTGGGATCGAGTCCCACGTCAGGCTCCCTGCATGGCTCCTGCTTCTCCCTCTGCCTGTGTCCCTCATGAATAAAATATTAAAAAAAAAAAAAAAAAAAAAGGTCAAGTGCCCTACCGCCAGAGCCACGATGACACCCAGATGAACTTTTGAACCATTCCAAAGCCCCACAACTTAGGCCACAGCTAAGGCCCAGCCCGCTGTGGGGTAGGCATATGAGCGTCAGGCATTCTGAACACTCTTCAGGTGACTCCAATATGCGGCCTAGTTGGGGGAACCACTAGTTTAAAGCAAAAAGTCATTTATAAACAGGTAAAAATAAAACTGATCCCTCGACACAAACACATAACCCATTTGTCAGAGCTATTCATTGTTTATATATTAAGAAACGAACATGCTGAAAGGTCAAAATCCTGTTTCATTTTCTTTGACACCTGAGGCGTCTCTGATAAATACGTCAGTAGCGGAAAAGTTGCTCCGTGTAATAACTCAGCATTCCTTTTTTTCCTTTCTTTTCTTTCTTTTTTTTTTTTAATAATAATTCCGAATTCCAAAAGCCAGCAAGAGAAGTCTGCCGTTGGAGTTCCTGAGAGCGTTGGCACAGGGCTTTAAAGGAGAACGTCCCTGGGAGCTGCCAGGCCAGCTTTCCCTCCTGCTAGGTTTGCATCTTGCACTGGGTCAGTTCCACCCCAGGACTTTGAAAAATACCCAAAACCAAGCAGTTCCGAACCTAAGAACCTCCACTGAGCTGATGCCACTCAGAGGACCCTGGAACAGGGAGGGCCAAGCCGAGTGGTGCTGCTGGCTGCAGCACCTGGGTCCTTTAGGTGACCTCTGGCCCCTGAGTCGCCTTGTGTTTAGAGGCCTCTGTGTGTCACCAGAGGAGAACCGGCCACCCTGGCAGGTGAGGGGCACGGTGGGCAGATGCAGCCCCACGAGTCTCCCCAGGTAGGCAGAGGTGTGGTGATGCCCCGGGGCGGGGGGAGGGGGTAGCAGGTGCAAGCGTGGCTTGACCCAGGGCGACCCGGGTGTCACCTGTCCGAGGGAGAGAAGCGAGGGGAGGCCGCGTGCCCTGGGCAGGTGGGCAGTGCTGGCTCAGCCTCTGGGATTGGAAGGCAGCTCCCCCCACTTGTGCACTCGGATCTCCCAGGGCCCCTGCGGACCCCCCCCCGACCCCCCCCACCACTCTCCCAGGGAAATCCGGCCTGCGAAGCCTGCAGCCCGCGGCCCAGCTCGTGCAAGCCCTCGGCTTCCTTGCAGAGGGAGGGCAATAATAGGTATCTCGAGCAGGTTTTAATACGATCTTAAAATAGGGGGAAAGTTTTCTGTTATGACATTGACACAGAGGCGATGATTTTGAGTAATGCAGGATGATGTGGGGATGCTTTAAGTTTAAATAAGAGCTATATAAAGGCTTGTCAGAATGAATTCTAATGTGCCATGAGACACTTTGCATACTCTTAAATATGCAAAATGTCTCTCGGCACCCTCGAATTCATTCTGACAAGCCTTTATATAGCTCTTATCTAAACTCCTACTTTATTTTTAGGGAATAGGTACTCGGAGATACTGTCTGCGTGGAAGCAACAAAGGGCAGTGTTTATTGATTCGGGTCCTCAGTGGGCGGAACAAAAAGAAACGCAATACAAAAGAGCAATCAAAAGTGGAAGCTTGTTTAATATTGCTCTACCATCATCCTGAAAGGCATAATAATTTGAGTTACACATCTGAACTGATTGGAGTTACAGAATCATATCTCCTTTTTGCATTTAACAATATATACAATATAAAATAAATACATTTACACAAATGGACATTTGCGGGAGCACACAGTATGGTACACATCACAAAAATATACAATTGATTGCTTTACAGATGTGAAGCCCATCTACAGCTATAGACATGGTTTTATTATTATTATTATTCTTTTTACTACTGGCTATAATGCAACTCCTGGATTATGATAAGCAGTTTAAATTTTTTTGTCCTTTTACGATCTTTGCACATAAGACTGCCATAAAATGTTTTCCTAGGCAGGTAAACAGAGACGCTTAAATAATTAAAATACAATCACCAACACCCATTTTCTCTTCTATAAGAAAAATAGCAGTTTTAAATATTTCATATCTTTTATGTTATCATTTAAATGCAAAATAGTGGAATAAATACAACAATCTGATCTGATTGAAACACAAGTGTAACTACAGGTAGTCACACGATCCTATTGCTTTAAATAAGAACAAACCTAAAAGAAGCAAAATAAAAATTTAAAATCATATGGCGAAAACATACACTTTTCTCACTTTCCAAAACTTCACATTAAGTAAATGGTCTTGCTTGAAACTCGAAAAAACTTACCTCGAGCGAGGTTTAATTAAGATGAGCATTTACCCTAAAGCCCGTGCAGTTCTTTTTTTAGATCTGCGTTTTAAGTTGTGTTTCCTATTTGTGAGATCCTTGTTCTCGGTAATGCCAAGAGTCACTTAAACTGAAAACTAAAATTTGTACTTGATCCTTTGCACCCATCTCCATCTCAGGTTTTCAGTTGGTTGGCTCTGACTTCTGAAGCCCAAGTACTTTAATGTGATACAGTGAAAACAACGTATATATTGTATATATTTTACTTATATATAGTGTGGTTGGATAGTAGCAACTTAAACCCTGCACAAACTTTCTGGAAAATAATCTTTTTAAATACTTACATATATAAATAATCTTATAGAATCAGCACCTTTTTTTTTCCCAGGAGTTGTATTTTCTGTTGTTATTTTTAAAGGGATGTGCCAATTTCTGAACTCCTATCACAGCTATAAATTTCGAGTTATTGACCATCTGAATGAATTGCTAATGATGATTTATCTAGAATCACACTACAGTCACTTCTCTACTGAGAAACCACAATCTACGATATAGTCCCATATAGCTAATGATAGATACACAGTATTCCTAGCACGAGGCTGATGAAACATCAACCCAAGGTATTTTGTTTAAAGCACACAAAGTAGCAATAGTTTTGGAAACGTGTCCGCACCAAAAAAGTTTTTGCAACAACACAGAGCTAGTTAATAACAACATCTGAGAGATGATTGAGTGAAAGCCATATATATACAGCATTTAAAAATTAGACTTATCTATATTCTTGAAATATTCAAAGTTTTATTTCTAAGCTATACATTGGTATTCTATAATAAACCATTAGAGAAATTATTCCTTGTTTTGAAAATATTATTATGATTCTGATGTGTATCTGTTCATAATGAGTACTTGTTTGGAGTTTCAATCTCTTAATTATTATTAGGAAGAACCTTATTACTGGTAAGGAATAGAATATACTACTGTAGTCTCCTGAGGAAGTGTACATCCAATATTGTCTCTAATTCTACCCTGTGTCTAAAAGCACACACCACAAGAATCCAAACACCACAAGAAGAACAAGACAACAGTCTTTGAATGCAACATAAAATTCAGAAAAGCACAGCAAACATGAAACATTGAAAAGCTGAACTACATTTCTTTTGTTTGTTAGGATTACAATTTTAATTACATCTGTGTACATAGAATAAGACTGTTCACATAGTACAGAGAGCAGCTACTAACACTGGTCCATTGGTATAGCATTTGATGGAGGTTACTGTTTATTGGTTATTCAGCGACTGTAGATTTCGGGGGGCATCTAATTGATTTCTTCATTAGATTACACCTCTTAACAGTCTGGAACCTGACTGACTTTCTTGCTGTGACAATACTGGTTGAGAAGCACACCTATTGGCTTAGCTCTTGGTAAAACCTGCAGATTAATTTAAACAAACATTCCTAAATGAATAAACTCATAAAAGATTAGGTTTTAGAATTTGGTCAGGCGTCTGCTGTCTTTGATGATTTGTTTGTTTGTTTGTTTTTGTTTTTTTTTTTTTTTTTTCTCAAATTCTGGCGTTTGCCTTATTGCCTCTTAAATGAATACTGGCTCACAGCTCCTTCGGAGACAAGGTCTGTAACTTTGCAAACAGGCAGTATCTCATTCCTAACCACCATGGCAGCTAGAAATCATATGGCAACTGTGCCTCCCAGGTAGAGAGGCGCACTCCTGATCATTCTACGGATCTGTACTCCATGTGCGGTGCTTTACGTGCGTGACTACTCGGAGCCACTGTAGGTGTAATCTAATCCTTTGTGTTAGTGAACATTTAGGTAAACTGGAGCTCATGTTAAGAAATTGATGTTTGGGACCAGACTGGCACACAACATAAATTGCATCCGTGATAATATGCACCTTCCCTTCAACTATTGCTTGAGTAAGTTAAATTCCCATATTAATAAATGGCTGAAAAGTGGTAAAGCTGGTACAAAAAAATCTCCATTTGTAAGAAGAAACAAAACATTTTTTTTTTAAAAATCTTCCTTCAGGATTCATTTGTCCTTCATTATTGTTCGTAAGTGTTCAAAGCCAGCACAAAATCGCAGTATTCTTATTTCTCTTTAGTATTGCATGAATGAATAAAGCTTAAACTATTCCCTGAAAAAGTTACATAGTAGCTAAACTAACAAATACCTGGAAGACTTGAAAAAACAATTAAGGAATCAAATGGCTGTAACTGATCTAGATGGAAAAGCAATGATAAGAAGCAGCCGATGCCACGTTGCTGAAGTTGTCTAATTAGAGGCTGCTCCCGTGAAATCTAATACTGCACTCAAGTCAATTGGTCTGTGTTGCGCTGTACTTTTAGGTACGTTGGTTCTCTCTCGCTTTGATTCCTTAGTCATTGGGGACGTCATGGTTCACAACAAGCTCACTGGTATCCATATTATGGATCCCCATCCTTTGGCAGGGCTGGCTTCCATCTCACTTCAGTTAGAGACCTCTTAAAAGTTCAGCAGCAGAAGGAAGGAAGGGAGGGAGGGAGGGGGGAAGGAAAGAAAGGAAAGAGGAAAGGAAAGGGGAAAGGAAAGGAAAGGAAAGGAAAGGAAAGGAAAGGAAAGGAAAGGAAAGGAAAGGAAAGGAAGGAAGAAGGGAAAGGAAGAAAGGAAAGGAAGGAAGGAAGAAATAAAAGGAAGGAAGGAAGGAAGAAATAAAAGGAAGGAAGGAAGGAAGGAAGGAAGAAAAAGGAAAGGAAGGAAGGACAGACAAGGCAAGGCAAGGCAGGGGACAATTTCCTTACAACTAGAGAAATGTTCAGTTGAGCAGAAAGGGGAAGGAGGAGAAAAGAGGAGGAGGAGAAGGAAGAGGGAAGGAAGGCAGTGAAGGAGAAAGGGAAGCGGTAGTGAAGGAAGCCACGAAATGAGGGAGAGGAGGACTCAGGGAGGCAGAAAAGAAAGCAGTAAAGCGGACGAGAAAGGAGGGAAGAAAGGCAGAAGGAAGATGAGAAAAGGGAGAAAGAAACGCATCAGGAGGATTCGGAGGAATCTGAAAGCTGCTTCATAGTCTTGCTGCTAAATGATCAGTGCAGTCCGTTGATTTTTGATGTTGGTGCCTAAACGCTAAGTTTCTTCGACATCGCTCTTGGGTTTAGTTTTCCCTTTTCCGGCGTGCAGGTTAGGAAGGCCCGGGAAGCCTGTAGTCAGACCTTGGCCTCCAGCATTTCCAAAAAAAGTTTGTGCATGGGGACTTTGCCTTCCAGTTTGATGTTGTAGAAGTGCTGCACCGCCTTGGTGGAGGTCTGCCTCAGGAGCGGCAGCGTCATCAGCATCTTGCCGGCCCTGCGCGGGTCCTCCATGTGCTGGCCCGCCTCGTAATCCTGCAGCGCCTCGTGCAGCACATCCTGCAGCTTCTGAACGGCCTCCACGTCCTCTATGTGCATGGAGTCTGCGCGACAAAGCGGGAGACAGAACAGGGTCAGCAAGAACCAAAGCCCACTCGGGGGAACCTCGATACTATTCTTGGGCCTCTCTGGGCTCTCTAAGCCCTGTGATCTGCTCAGAGAATTTTACGATTCCAAAAACCTCTATTTTTTTTTTTTCCTTTTTCTAAATTGCCCTCCAGCAGGTGATTTCCACCATGGATTTCCAACACAGAAGTTACCCCCACCCCCACCCCAAAAAAAATCCGTTATTTCAAAGTGTGGGATTTTTTTTTCTTTTTTTGTTTTGTTTTGTTTTTTTTCTTCTAAAATGGAAGAATCAGAGACTTTCTTTTATCAGATCACAATCTCTGTTACTTTATTCATTATCTCATTCACCGTATTCATTATCCCATTCATGTGTTTATTCGCTCAGCCAGCAATTATGAAGGACGCCTATTAAAAGTATTATTCTGGTTCAGTCTGTTAAGCGTCTGCCTTCGGCTCAAGTCATGATCCTGGGGTCCTGGGATCGAATCCCAGGTAAGGCTCCGTGCTCAGTGGGGAGCCTGCTTCTCCCTCTCCCTCTGCCATCCCCCCCACCCACCCCTGCTCCTGCTCTCTGGCTCATTCTCTGTCAAATAAATAAATAAATAATCTTAAAAAAATCTCTCCCCTTTAAAAAAATTAGAAAAATAAAAGCATTATTCTAAGTGGTGTGGAAGTAACATTGTCTAAAACTATGATCTTAAAAATAAATAAAATAAAATAAAATTATGATCTTGCCCTCAGAAAGCCCTTATTTCCCAAAAGGAAACAAACAAACAACCACTGATGACCAAGGTTTTAAGAATTCTGTATAAAGAAACCAAATCTAACACTACATTCAGGTGTAGACTATCCAAAAACCACAAAAAATTGCTTATCCTTTCAAGGTTTTCAGTGTACTGTTAACAGTTCATTAAAGCGTCCTCATCCAGTCTGCTTCTACTGAAAAACAAATGAAGTCTTTAGATTAACGAGTTCTGAAATATTTTTCACATTTGTGAAGGTGAACTTTGCCCTTAAGTGACTAATTTAAAAATCTAATTTGATCGAGCAAGGAAGGGGTTAACAGGGTTGCCACAATTATTCTTTTGAGAAATGTGAGATGTGGGGAAAAAGAAAAGTTACTGCTCTAGCTCTAAAACAGACACTTAATTATATACAAGTTTGAATCATTTAGCACGTTTTATTGATTCTGATGACAGTTTATCTGTTAATTACACATAATGGAGTCTTTGGGGGATTCTTCATGTTTAATAATTCTCCTTCTCTGAGAATGCAGAGCTCTAAGATATATGTAGTTAGCCTAATCTTTCCTATAATTCAAATATCAGGTCACATGTGCAAAAAAGAGAGAGGAAATGTAATTTAAAATCAAGTGGCTAAACATATGGTAAAAAAAAAAAAAATTATGGCAACGTAATTAAAAGGTTGACAGCCACAACCAGGAACCTGTTTAAAAGGTTTTTTTACATTTTGTTGTTTTACATCGTTATTTTGAAATCATTTCAGCACATCCTTGGTAAACTGACCACTGTTTACACGAGGTAGTTAATGACACATTTCTCAAAAAGAGTTTTGAGTCACTTGGGATACGACTCTACTCCTGCCTGGTGGAGCCAAGAAGAATTCTTTCAGGTTGTTAAGGTCGACAGTGGTACCCTGGAGCGAAACTCGGGTCATTTCCCAACACAGAAGCTAGCCTGTCCCTGTGGATTGTTTCTCCCCAGGCCTCTCTCCACTCCGGCTCCTTTCACACGACAATCTCATCCACTTCCTATGTGTCTTCTCATAGCAACAAGCACACGTCATTTTCAAAGATGTCTAAGGACTGGCAATGTTAGGGGAAACCTGTCATGGAGATGACAATGTGCACTGAACTTTTTTTTTTTTTTTTTCTATTTTTCCTGTTAAATGCTGAAGGGGAAATGGTAGGCCCGGGCACACACTAACGGTGAGCATCCAGGTATTCAAAAAACTGACCTTGCACATAAGAAAAGGGAGAGAAGATGGATTTACCAAATATCCTGGGCCTCAAAGCACTCAAAGTGGAAAGAGGAATAAGTGGATGGGGAAGGAGGAATTGCATCTTTACAGACAATTTTAAACTACTTTCCCATCAAACCAAAGGAAAAGTGGAATAAATATAATAAATAGACCATATATTAAACACCCGTTTCAGGTAAGGCCTCCGATATGCCCTTTCTGTACACTGCCTCATTTCATCTCCTGGCTGCCAGGAAGTCACCTGGCACCGGATGCATCAGCGTTATTAGGTTTAACTCAGGTTTCTTTGTATCAAAATATGCTGTTAGAATGCATACCACTTGGCATAGTCATTTTTTAAAAAAATGAGTTAAAATGATCTTCTGAGTCTATCTTATTCAACCTTCCATCTTCATCAAGAATCTTCTCTATATTCCTGGGGGTACCTGGGTGGCAGTCGAAGTGTCTGCCTTCAGCTCCGCTCAGGTCATGATCCCAGGGTCCCGGGATCAAGCCCCCACATGGGGCTCTCTGCTCATCGAGGAGCCTGCTTCTCCCTCTGCCTGCTGCTATGCCTACTTGTGTGCTCTCTTTCTCTCTATGTCAAATAAATAACTAAAATCTTAAAAAGAAAAAAAAAGAATCTTCTCTACATTGCTAATGAAGACATTTCCAGATGTATGTAGAACATTCTATTTTATGAGACAGACCAATTATTAGAAATGTCCTCTTCAGATTTTTCCAAATCTGTCTACAACTTCCAGCCTTTGGTCCTGGTTCTAAATATTGGAAGGATACAGAATAAATGTCCTTCTTCTCCATGGCAGATCTTTAAACGCTTGAAGTGAGCTGCAGAGTCACCTCAGTCCCCACCCCAAGCCTTGCCTTCCCCACTACTCTTGCCCAGCAGGAGATATATTATAGGATGTCCCAGGAAATGAGGCGAGAACAAATAGCAGAGAGATATGCTCACAAACAGCAATTAAGACTTCAAACTATTCTTTAAAGGCTGTGATTTAGCTTGAGAGATTTAAAAATGATTTAATCAAATTACTATGATAATTTAACTTCCCATTTACAGAAAAGATTCTAACTCATTTTAGCTTTACCCATTCTCAGATCTGCTAATACTTTAAATGCAAACTCACTAAATCTGAACTATTTAATTACACCATGATTCAGCTGGCAGACTGCTGAAGAAAATATTAATCTCCATTAGGGATCCTAGTTCAAGTTCTGGCTCTGTGGCTTTAATCTCTGTTTTGCTTTTTGGGCTACATTTATACATTTATGCCAGGCTCAAGAGAACTGGCATTAATTTATGTAATTATTTAGCTTTGGTTGTTGGAGCTGGTTTCTTTTTAACTTCATATTTTAAAGGAAATGGTCCCAGTATTTGTGCTAATGAAAACCAGTGAAACTTAATAATGGGAATCATAGGCTTATGAACTAAGTAGACACAGGGAGCCTATAACATTAAAAATACTGGGTGAGTGGTTAAAAACAAGGATGTCTGGGCTCAAGCCCAGATTTATTAATCAGAAAATTGTAGCTAGCTCCAAGCCATCATCTGCATTTTTAAAAATCTAGGCGCTTCTATGGCCAAGCCAGGGTTGCAAACAAAAAGAGAATTCTATTCCAGAAGAATCCAGACTTCAAAAGATAACCAGTGTTCACATGAAGCCTATATTGTCACCCACATATTAAATTTCAGCACTTAATAATAAAATAGAACCCTATCATTAAATTCCAATATTTTATTCTGTTAAGTGGGATCCTAAAGGAACTTGTCTAGTTTGGATCATTTATTTTGGGAAGAGAGCTAAATATCCTCACACACCTATAGTTGCAAAATTCAGTGAGACTCAGAGCCACTGCAAAATATCTCATTTTTGTATTTTACCTGAAATAAAATATTGCCTTTTTCTGTGATAAATATTTTAACTATTGTGGACATGGGCATAGCTACTCCTGAATGCCCAAATGTTTGGGAACTGTCTCTAGGACTTGTAGCTCATTCTTGACAATAGTTTCTCAATGGTGCCAAATCTGATTTTGAGGGTGGAACTGACAAAGCACATTCAGAGTCAAGTCTAGCACATAATATAAATCAACACTCAGAGGAACCCAGTGTTGATTTCTTTAGTGTTTATAAATTGCCTACATGAATAGGGGTAATAAGGGGTGAGCCGATGGGACTCTCCAATCACTAAAGGAATGAAATGCAACATGATAGAAAACACAGAGAAGTGAGCAAAAGTCTATTTTCTAGAAGATAATTTGATCTTAAAATTTTTATATGCAATATATAAGGAATCTAACAGAGCGATCCTCCTGGCTGCGATTGGCTGGGTACTGAGGAACTGCAAACTAGCTCTTGATTGACATAGATAGTTGACCCTGAATTTCCAAAAATGGTGTCAGTCATAAACTTTAGAAATAGGTAGACTAGGTTCTAGGAAGATGGCAGTGGTAACAGCAAAATTATTTAATCTTTCCAAATCTGCACATAGAAAAAAGAACAACTAGATGGCCAAACTAAAAACTCATAGACAACACTTACAAACAAAACTAAGTGACAAGGTATCCCCAACACACACATGCACACACACACACACACACACACAACAGGACTGTGTGTGTTCCTAGCTCTGTCCACTGAGAAGGCCTAGGAAGGATGGCCAAACCCAGGAATGCAATAATGAACAATACTTAGATTCCAGGCTTCAGCAAGGAAATAGTTAAGATAAGTATGGAACATCTTATATTAGATTAAAGGGTACTGTCTACAACTACTAAGCCATTCAGAAAGATTCCAGAAGACAGCCTGAAGAGATTCCCGCTGACTGAAAATGGGACAATTTGATTTTCCAAAAGGATTATAATTGCAATTGACTGAAATCCACTGAATAGGATTGGGTGGCTGACTGGGTGGCTCAGTTGGTAAAGCATCTGACTCTTGATTTCAGCTCAGGCCACAATCTCAGGGTCGAGA